AAGTTTGGATTTGCCGGTGCCCACTGAGCAAGATTTGTGAAGCATAAATGAGAAAACCTGCGCCGGCCTCCCTTTCCCATAAAAAGCTGCTCAGGTGGCTTAGTGCTGTGGGCTAATGCGGAGGAGGAGGAGGCGGCTGTGCACCTGCTAGTGCTTTGGCTGGGGCTGGTGGCAGAGCTGCCACGAGGTCCCCCCAGCAGCAAGCTGTTAGTGGCAGCGGTGCCACAACAACAAAGGGCCCTTTGATCCTTTCCATTTGGAGAACTTAAAACAAGAAAGCAAAACTACAATAAGGCCAAGTTGGGTCATAAAAAGGAAAGCGGGGAGGAGCACCAAAGCGTGCCGGAGTGTAATTGCAGAAGCAGCAAATGCTTTGGCACTTAATTCTGCTTTAGTGTCAGTTCGGCATTTCGTGTTTAATACTGGAGAGACCGTCGCCAAATGCTCTGCACAAACAATCCAGTGCTCCTCAGTATGTTTGTGGTACTTGGAGAGACCCTGGCTCGAAGGCACCTCCCCAAGCTCTGCTGCCTTCCATTTCCCGTGGGCTGCAAGTCCAGGCTTTGTGAGAAGTTCTGTGGCAGACATGTCCCTTCCTGGCTCTGGGGTGACTGCTGCTGCTCAATGTCTGTGTGGTACAGGAATTACAGTTGCAGCTTTCTGCTTTGGTGCTGGCGATGCCCCCATACACCCCAAGCTCGCAGCAGTCAGTCACCGCTGTGCTCTGCTGAAGCCTCTGCTGTCCTGCCTGCCTTGCTGCCCTTCCGCTCACTTCTTTGCAGGCCTGGGTGATGCTTGAGAGCTGTCTGCAGAAGGTGGATTTCAGGTTGGGTATTTTATAGGTTTATCACAAGGCTGGCTAACAGCTGCCATATCTAACAGCTATGAGGAATGAATTTAAAACAAAAAAGAAAAGCTCTGGATGGTTTCTCTGGCAACAGCTGAGGTCTCAGGAAAGCCATTTCTCTTCTCTTTTTGGCGCTGACTGTGGGTTTTGGTGCCAGACTGAGATTCTGTCCCACAGCCCTTCCTGCTGCACTCCGTGGTCGTGGCCAGCTCCTGGAGGCAGTGGGCAGCGGGCAGACCTGCTGGCTGAGAGCAGGGAAGGGCTGCTGCACGCCACTCTGCTTTCAGAGCCAAAAGAAGGAAAACATCATAAGCTGTTATGCAGTATTGGGCTTTTCTCTTTAAAACTTAATTTACTTGCCTAATTGCCTGCAGCCTCAGCTCCCTCCAGCTGCTAAGGTGGATGGGACAGAGCGCTGAGCTCCCACTGCTGAGCACAGTTGGCTGTTGGCTGGGAGGTGTTCGGTGACTGTGGATGTGCTCCTTGTGAAGGCAAAGCTTTTATTTGTGCCACCAAAAGCTGACACTCCCAGGATGTGCTGGATCAGCTCAGCCTGCATCTGCTTTCCTCAGCCCCAGTCCCATGCCTATGGGCTGTAGGACAGAGGCATCCCTGGTGCTGCTGAGGTCTGTGTCCTCCCAGGGCAGGGTCCCAGCCAGAGCTTTGCAGATGGGCTTCCTCTCCCTGTGTTTTCCTTGTGTGCATCCCTTGTGCTAGCTGTGCTCCTTGGGGCTGCCAGGGCAGTAGGGCTGTGAGCCCTCCCGCAGCACTCAGCAGCTCCTGCCCGGCTCTCTCCTGTTTATCTTAATGAAGCAGAAAGTTCTGAGTTTTGAAGGCTGATTGCTCTGTGAGGTGCATCCTGACTGCTGAGTATGCATGAGATGCACCTGGCAGCATCTCCCTGATGACATCGCAGGGGTGGATGCAACCCTGTATTGGTGGCAGATGTGTCATCAGTGCTCCAGAGAAGGGCAGGCAGTCTGCTTTTTACCTGGTATCTTCACCTGGAAGCCCCTGGTGCTCGGCAAAAGCCATCTCCCTTTTCCATCCATCTCTGCAGTACAGAACAGAGGAGGTAGGGAGACAGACCCAGAGAGGGAGCGTCGTGCTGCTGTTTGAGCAGGGACGTGGTGAAGTGACGGGCACCTGATGAAAACAAGGTGATAAGAAATACTGAGAGCCCTTGTAAATTGTTTCTTGCCCCAATTGTGGGTCCAGCTCTCCATGGTGTAGGTAACGTGTGTGAGTGATTTATGTGCTGTTGGGGAGTATTATAACAGATGCTGTAAAATCGTCTTGTAAGTATCTGAAAATCATTTGTCTGTCTCAGGCGTGCCGTAGCACGTACAGGAATGCTCTGTTTGGGGAAGAGCGAGCTCCTTATCCTCATTTATCTCGAAGTACTTGTAGATGTTGCTGTAATTTCATGTTATCGAATCATTTAGCTCTTCCTCTTCCAAAACGAAATTATTTTATCTCATGCACTTTGTTTACTTCAAATTAGCCCTGAGGTTGGCCTCGAGTTGCACCTTGTTATTCCTACATCTCCCGTCTCTGTCTTAGGCACTGCTGGCAAATTTGAAGGTATAAGTAAATACTTTTTTGTTATGAATAGAATAACTTCCCCCTCCTACACACACATTTTCTTTTAATTCCAGTCTTCGTTTTCCATGAGAAACTGACATTGCAGTGCAAGCGGAAACCTCCCAAATTGCACGAAAACGCTGCAGTTCTCCTAGCAACAAGGTCAGGGCTCAACGCCAGGGCCTTTCTGTGAGCGCGGGGAAACGGCCGCTCCAATTACCTGCTGCCCTGCAGTACAGATTTGGTCGCTTCATCAGCACCTGGGCTTGGGTGGATTTGAAAGCCAGCCACGGTATTGTTTAAAAGTTCTCCATTCATTGGTGAAAGGTCTGTAGTGGGCTGAGCCCTGAGAAACCCGGGGCTGGTTTTATGGCTTCGCATTGAAACCCGGTGGAACCCTGTGGTGTCAACTGATTTCCTCTTCCCCGCTCATGTGGCTTTGATCAAACCCAGGACTCGGAGAATGACCCCCCCAGGACCTGAAACCCTGCGCTTCGCCCACCTCTGCCATTCATTAAAGCGTTTTCAGGCTTTGCATTGTGGATGATAAAATTCGGACCTTTGTGCCTGGCGCCGGGTGAAGCTTGCCAGTTGTATGGCCGAGCTCAGCCCCGTGGGGTGTGCAGCCCAGGTCAGCTGTTTGCACAGAAGGAAGCCATCTAGCTCCTTCTCTCACACCTTCTGCCTGGTACTGCCCTGCTCTGTTGTGTGCTCTTAATGAGGCCGACATGTGTTAACGAAGCCCCTTCAGCAGGATGGTGCTTTAATGGCTTTTGGGTTGGCGTACCCCAGGCTGTGGCAGCGCCTGTTGGGAACAGCCCCAGCATCCAGCCCCACTGCAGCCCAGTGGGCTCCTCACCCCAGTGACCTGCAGCTGTGCTGCTGTGCTGCTCAACGCTGCCTTGGTGTCCCCGCAGATGTGATGGAGACGTGGCCGAAGGAGCTGATACTGCTGCGTTTGTGCAGGAGGGAGGAAGTTTGTTAGCCAGCATGGGCTTGCAGTTCTCTCAAAAACCCGAATGTGACTTCACTGGGGAGCTGGATTGGACAGATGCCATGCTGGAAATCTTTCCTTTGGCTGTGCTAAGCATTAGATCAAGTCCTGTCAGAAACACTGTAGTGTGTTGGTCACTGTCCAGAGACTGTGAAGCACTTGGGGCTGAGATGGCATCCAGGGCTGGATGAGCCTATAGCTACTTGTTGTCTTCTGATGCCCAAACCCGAGTGCTGCTCAATGCTCTCAGTGCAGCACCACTAAATCAACAGTTAAAGGACAAAATGTATTTTCAGACATGTGATTATAGATGAAAAGAATTTCCTCTATGCTGAGTGACTCAAATGTGCTACCAGGTGACACTGCAACTCCCCACAGTGCTGCAGGTGCTGTAGAGTTTGGAATCCTGAAAGCACCCTGAGATCAGTGCATGGTCTCTCTCAGCACACAGGCTTGGCTCTGGCTGAGCCAAACCCCTCTTGCTGGAGACTCAGACCAGTGAGTGCTTTGAGTCTGGGTGCTGTCACATTGGCTGTGCAGTGGTGGGGAGGTGGCTTGCACCGTGCTGTGTCTGAGCAGCGGTCCTGGTGGGACAGGCAGGGTGCTCAGGGAACAGGAGGTCTGACCTCCAGTTCTACATCTAAACCTGGCTCCCTCTGCAAAGAGGCGAGCCATTTAAGGATGTGAGATGGATAGGGGAAGGCTGATACCCTCCTCTCTACCAGAAATGAAACCCTCTTCCAAATCCTGGAAGAGTAGAGCTATATATATGTATGTATATGTAAATATATGCATCATCTTATACATCATCCCCTTTGGCAGTGGACTTAGTCCCCAAGCTGTACTGGCTTGGGAGGCACTTGGGATGCTGACCCATCCTGGAGGAACTGCTCGGCATGGTGACTGCCCTCCATGCTGCTGCACTGCCAGGGCTGGCTTCCACCTAACCCCAGTCTGCAGCAGCAAGCAGATGGGGTGCTGAGGGTCCAAGTGGGGTTGGTAGCACAGCATGTGCCTATGGCCCTTGCCATCCACCTGTCTTGCCCTGGGAGCTTCAGGCATGGTTTATCTGCTCGCTGCCATGCCTGGGATGCTGCAGGAGCATCCAGTACCATCAGGCATTTTTGAAAATATTGAAAATATATGAAAAGCAAGCAGTAGAAGTAGAAAGTGTGTCATTTGGCCTATTTGAAGTTCTGTTTTTTCCTGATAAGCATGAGGTTTCCTTGGAACAAGTTCAGTTTGTCCTCCTTTCTAATGGAAAACGAGAAGCAACGTGTCCTGCATTGCTTGCAGATGAAGGAGCTGGATGGGACACGCTGCTGTCTGTGAAAAATCTCTCTGCCCTTGGATAGGAGTGCTCCAAAAGATGGTGAACTGATGTTGGTTATGTTTTGTTTTTTCCTAAATCGTTTCTGTTTCAGCTGATGGTTTGTTACTGCTCCTGTTAGCGACGTTTGAACCAAAACCAGGGTTCAGATGACTTTATTTGTGCCAGATTGGGTTATGGTCACTGAGCTTGCATTTGGTTAACGATTGATTTCTTTTTTTTGTTCTTTTTTTTCCCTTTTTCAGCCTGATGGCACCAGCAAGGAGTGCGTCTTCATTGAGAAAGTCCTAGAAAACAACTACACGGCGCTGATGTCAGCAAAATATTCAGGCTGGTATGTTGGATTCACCAAAAAAGGGAGGCCACGGAAAGGGCCCAAGACCCGAGAAAACCAGCAAGATGTACATTTTATGAAGAGGTACCCAAAGGGGCAAGTGGAGATACAGAAACCTTTCAAGTACACAACAGTCACCAAGAGGACTAAGAGAATACGACCCACCAACCCCAGTTAAAAGTAGACGAAACAGTGTCACAATAATAAACCACAAAAAAAAAAAAAAAAAAAAAAAAAAAACTGCACCAGAGGAATATTTTTACATTAAAAATAAGGAAGAAGCTCTATTTTTGTACATTGTGTTTAAAAAAAAAAATAAAAATAAAAAAAATTAATAAAAGACTAGATGGCAAACGCTGGGGAAAAGCTGTTAGGGATTTATTGTGACTTGAAAAATGAAATGAACTGCTCTATTTAAATTGACTTCTTGTTGTTGATGACACACAGGTGCTTATTTCTCTTTTTGGAAAGGACAACTTTTCAAGCATATCCCCAGAGGAAAAAAAAAAAAAAAACAAAAAAAAAACCAACAAAAAAAAAGTAATTATTAAAAATAAATAAATAAAGCCAAAGAAAACCAAAGTTCTTTCCCAAAGTTACTGAGACCCTGCCCTGAAACTTGCCAGTTTTGCAGTAATCTATTTATTGTCTGCTGCAAGCTGGACCGAGACAAGATGGTGTGTGCCGCAGTGATGGAGTTTGCGTGGAGTCCTCGACGCATCGATCTTCTGTAACCTTTCTGACGACATAAGGTGTCACGGCTCCGTGATCCTGCATTACGCTCAGTTCTGGAGAATGCTGCTAAATACATTCAAGTGACTACAAAATGACCTAGTACACCAATGATAAGGGAATATTTTAAAACCAGCTATATTATATATATTATATATATATAAGCTATTTATTTCACCTCTCTGTATATTGCAGTTCCATGAACCAAGTATTACTGCCTCAACAATTAAAAAAAAAATTATTTAAAACGCATGTATATATTTTTTGCTGTTCGTGCTTCGTTCCCCTTGCTGAGTAGTTTTTTCTCAATGGCTGTTTACCTTTGATGTGAGGGCTGCAAGGTATATATTTGGGATGGCTTCCCCACTATAAACGTCATTGCCGGTTCTGTAATTCTGCTTTTTCCTCAGTACTGTCTTCTTTCTTCTCCCTCACTGCTCCCAAAGGGGAGGAATCTTATGTGGGGCGATGGGCCGAGAGTGGGGAAACACGTGCTGGAGTTTTTCAAGAGCAGGACTTATATTTGATACTTTTCAGCCCACTAAATATTTCCTAAAGCCTTGGCCAAGGCAAAGGTAAACTGGAAAATTAGCATATGACTCAATTAACACATACTTACGCGTGGCTTGTGTTTCCTTTGCTGGAGCTCTGGAGAGGTGCTATTGGTTTCCATGGAGTCGACAGGATTCAATATTATAACTTTTAAGACTCATCCTAACCCCGACCAGCCCCCAGACCACTCCCTGCCCTCCTTGCCCCACGTGTTTCTCCCCACTTCTGGGTGCTCTGCTCCTCAATGCGGCCCATTCTCCTCGTGAGACTTCAGCAGAGATTTGGGTGATGTGGAGCCGTGTGTAAGCACAAAGCGCTCATCCGTGTTTGCAGACAGCGTGTGCTGACCCTCCTGGTGGAGCGGGTGACACAGCACTGAATGGAGAGCAGCAAAAAGAAGGAGGACAAAATGGTTGACCTCAAATTATAGCTGAAAGGACGACCAAGCACCATTAAGGAAATGCTCGCTTGCTTTCTTGCATGCGCACATGGCTGTGCTCCCTGATTCCAGCCAGGGCTTGGGATGCTCAGAGCTGCTCAGAAAGCTTTTTCTCGTTAATCAGAACGGCTCTCCCAAGAACAAGCTTTCTCATGATAACTTTGAGAGCTGCAGCCAAACCCTGCAGATCAAAGCCATTTGAGTGATGGTGCAGATAAGCATGCAAACGTGAGGATGCTTATCTGAAACAAATCTCCAAACCTTGCAAGCTCAGAGAAAAATGAGCAATGCTGAGTGGGGTCACTCCACGCTGCTTGATGGCAAGCCAGGCAGCCCTGCAGGTGATGCTTTACCTGCAGCCAGCACGTGCGGCTGCTGGGCAGCCCATCTCCATTCTGACTGCATGGGAGCTGCCCGCAGCTGGACCTCGCAGGATGGCAGCGTGCTGGTGGATATGGCTGGTGGGTGCTGGAGGGCTTTGCCAGCTCAGTTCTGCCTTCAGATTGATGCGTGTGGGAGAGATTTGGGGAGAGTTCAGAGGAGCGCTGGGGGTGGGCGACTGGGAGCGGCTGTAGATTGCTGTGTGAGTAGCTCTGAGAGGAGAAACCCAGCTGATTTCCAGGGGAAGAAAGGGCTTACAGGTGTCCTTTTTTTTTTCCCCTGGAAATACAGCCATGGCTCACGGCACCCAGGATCACTGTCAGCATGATAGGATTATAGGATTTGTTTGCCATTGGGCAAATCAGGAGGGGTGAAGGCGTTAGATGTTGGAGAAGGACCATGTGGGGCCAAGAGTTGGGGGGATCTGCTCCCAGTCCCACAGTGTGCACTGGGTTTTGACTGGCACATGGGACCTAGGGGTCGAGCAGTCAGCAACAGGGCCTCTGGCACTCGTATCATTGGGTCAGAGAAATGTTTAGGGGAAAGCAATGAGATGGGTTCCTCAGGCTGTGAAGTATCAGCACAATGAAGAGACGGCCGTGTTCACCTGGGTTGGAGCCTTCTGAGAGATTTTTTGGCTGAGGATGGTGCATATTGAGAATTTGTGTTTGAACATCTGTTCCTGACACTTCATTAAAACAACAGCAACAAAAGCAGCAGAAAAGATGAGAAGAATTCATCACCAGGCTCCCTTCAGAGTGCCTTCACAAAGGGCAGAGGGGTGCTCAGGGAAGGAGATGTTCAAGAAATGAAAAGAAAAAAGGGAAATCCATCATGTGCCAAAAGCCAGACATGCCAATGCTCGAGGCCACCCGGGTGCTGGTGCTGGTGTTCCTATGGGTCATGGTGTTCCTATGGTTGGGTTGTAGTGTTCTTATGGCCAGGTCACGGTGTTCCTATGCTTGAGTTGTAATGGCTGGGTCATGGTGTTTCTATGGCTGCATCATGGTGTACCCATGACTGGGTCATGATTCTCCTATGGCTGGATCATGGTGTTCCTATGGTTGGGTTGTAGTGTTCCTATGGCTGGGTCACAGTGCTCCATGGCTGGGTCTACTCCATGAGGCGGGAGGCCACCAGTAGGCTTCAGCCCACTCAACAGTGCTCTGCTACCCTCCATGCTGTAGAGAAGCAGCGGGTTTTCTGCCTTTATTTCCTCCTTTCAGAAATTCTTCAGGCTGCCTGGATATGATCTACAGTTCTCTGTGTAGGCTATTACCTTTCATTTACTTTATAATTGAAAACTGTTAATGAGAATTTAATTACCATTGTGGAAATAACCTCAATAGCAAGGCGTGTAACACTTAGATGATTGCTCGAAGCAATCGATGGTGTTAATGTGTGTGGAGCTCTGGGTGGGCACATTTTAAACAAATACACTCCTTAATTGAATTTAATAACAGTATATTGTAGCTGCTGCTGCAGAAGTAGGACTGGGTTAGTCGTGCTCTCACAGCAGGGATCAGCTTGTGGCATGCTCTGGTAATGCCGCAGTTGAACCAACTGTGGAACTGGGCCTATGGTGTGCCAAAATGTCTGTCGTCTGAGAGGGGAAACTCTGGGAGTCCAGAGAAGATGACTTTGTCATCTTTGACTCAGCTCACAAGCACACAGCTCAGAAGAGGTCAAGTTTGGGTGAAGTAAACACCCAACTTACACAAGTCTATCACCATGGGCTGCAGGGCTACAAATGGCTCCATGGATGCCCGTGGTCCATCTTGGGCTTACGGAGCATCTCAGTGCCCCTGCGACTGCACAGGCTCCAGCTGGGCCCTCAGCCTTGTGCTGTGGGAGATGGCTGAGTGATTGGTCTTCCCAAGGAGGGTTCCTCCACCATCAAAGCTCTGACCCAGATCGAGCAGGTGAGATGGGTTGGATAACACAAACCATACATGAGCTTTGCTTCAAAAGCACGTTGTGTTACCATACTCAGCCTTGAGAAATAAGGTTCTATGATGGGAAGTAGTGCATGTGTGTGGGGGGGGGCTATAGCTGTGCTTCCTTCCATTAGTCTCCAACCAAGGTACCTGTCTGGGAAGGAAGGAAAGTCGTAGCAAACTATGGTCCTCCTGTCCATCCCTCGGCACCAAGGGAAGGACGGAGCCTGGGTAACCCCAGGGAAAAAGCCTCCCACCCCCATCCCCTCTCCTGCACTAAACGTTGCAACTTGTGTCTGCTGCAAGGGAAAGCAGGTATATTCCTATGCAGAATTTTCTGATTTCCTGCCAAAGGGTGGAAGTTTACACTTAAGATTCACAACAGCTGTTTCAAGTGCCGCTGTCTCGTGCCAGCCATACCACCTGAATGGCCAAGGGATATATATAAAACTTCAATTATTTTTTGAATGTTTGTTGTTTTTCATTTGGAGACAGATGAGAAGAGATTCTTCGCGAATGATGTAACCTACATAGACTCTGTTATTTCCAACGGTGTGAGCTGAAAAATTAGGGAGGAAAAATCAGGTCAAACTGAAACTTTTCTTTTTTAAGTGAGACAAAGTACTGGGTGGAGAGATTTGGGTTTACCAAAAACATTTAATTCAACCTATTCAACGTTTTATTTCTTCTTTTAAATGTAGGTGATTTGAAAGGGAGAAATGAGAAATGAGAAGCCTCACTTTGAAAACAAAAAAGCAGTATTTTGTGCTTAAAGAAATCTCTCTGCTTATTTTCCAGTGGAAACTGTTTTCAAAATCTCTGAGTAGGTCTAAACCCCCTCTCTAAAGTGCTGTTCCTGAGTTTGTTCCTCCACCCCACTGCTCAGCAGTGTGTCTGTGCCCCATGTAGTGCCACCTGCAGCCCCTCCTGGAGCCTGCTGATGGTCCCAGCTGATCCCACAAGCTCTGGGCCATGAGCAGTCCCTGCGGTGACCCCCAGGAGTCAGGAGTGCAGTCACAGAGCACATAGATATGTCACTGAGCATCCCCGTGCTGCGAGCCCCGCGCCACAGGAAGCGGAACTGGATGACAGCAGGTTGGGAAAGCAGCAGCTGAGTTTCCCAAGCCACATCAAACC